TGCGCCATGACGCTGACCAAAGCCACCAACGAGGAGATGGAAGCATGGATGGGCATCATGGTCGACATGCTGGAGGACACAGTCGGAATCATCGCCCACACCCTCAGTACGCTCTGTCTCTTTCCTCCTTTATTTGCGTGCATTCGTACGCATTAAAGATCATATATATATACATATATATGCATATATATAAGTGAATACATAGATATATATATACAAATATATATGTATGTATATTATGTATATGCATGTATGTATGTACATGCATATATATATACATATACATGTACATATATATATGTATATTTACACATATATAAATATATATACATATACATGTACATATGTATATGTATCTTTACACATACATACATATACATGATATATATATATATATATATATATATATATATATATATATATATATATATATATATATATTAGATGGGTAATTAGATGATGGATAGATACAGTACAAAAATAATTTTACCCATTGCTATATCCTCTTTTGCATACAGTGTTATGTCATTTGTATTCACCCTAAAACAAACTTTTTACCGGCAGACAAAGAATCATCCTTGTCAGTGAACTCTTCTTCTATTAAGGGAGAACGTAAGTGCAATTATCCTTTATTGACTGATTTACAGATAATTTAGTCATTTGTCACGTTATCAGCTAAAATTATAATTTCATTTCCTTTTGCAGTGTTCTAACTAAAATAATTCTGGCTTTAAATATAGACTCTAGGTAGTTTCACTTCTCCATATTCATTAAATGTCTATCATGTATCGCATATACATAATAACTTCAATTTTGCTATTCACAGTACAATTCAAAATGTTAGTTTCTCAAAGGAAATTGTAAGACTTTCTATAGCACAGTCCACTCCCAATAGATTTTTTTAAGTATATATGTCGGAGACAGATACAGGTCTTTGAGCTGAGACTTCTGCACACAATTCCACTATAGAGGTGACATTTAATGGCTACTGGCATCTCTCACAAAGACGGGATTCCCTTCCAACCATCAGACATTCATTCGATTGGGAATGAACGCTACCAATCACTGTTTTATTCTCTGGTTAGTCCATTACTTCCCTTGCCATTTCCGAGGGAGATTAATTCTGATGATAGGATACATCTACGTATATCATGGGGTTATCAGCTCTCTCAAACGGGTATTAACATGCCCAAGCACCGAATACAGAGTTATCTTACTTATCTTACTGGGTGTTTTGTGGTTACATTGTTGTTGGAAGTACATTCACTCTTCGGAAAAAACGTTGTACACCCATATGAGGGATGGGCGCCACATACTTCCAGGGGCATAGCTATGGTCTTAGCCGGTGAGAACTAGAAACCATATACTCCTACTGCGCAAATGGATTTTAATGCAGTTTGAATGAGTTCTTGCATATTCTGCAAGAGTCTCATCAACCTGCACTACACTACCTTTTATTGATAGCAAAAGCAAACAGTCGGTTTTAGGTTACGAAGATTGTGCTGCAAACTAAGCACCCTATAAGAAAGGAAGCTTTGTATGAAGGAGGGTAATGCCTCTCATGGGTATTGTTTTTTCTAAATCCATTTTGATATGGAGACAGTGTCTTCTTTTTAAATCATATCAGTTACCTTTTTCCTATATAGATACAATTGGCATGAAAAATACCAGCTGTATGGAAGTATAATTTATCATGCTGTTGGTCCTTCGTCCTAACGGCTGACTGTGACCAAGACGCCAAACACTTCCACAGACTTTCCCTTACCTCATCTTGGAACAGATGAGATGGGATGATGCACACCTGCAAAACTCCACAGGCTCGGGAAGGGCCAAAGGACTTGACATTTATAGCAGGGGCATTCTACATACCAAGGGAAGCCTCTAGTGATATGGCAACGGTTGGGTTAGTTATCATGGAAAATTTCAGAACACTAACTGAGGGCTCGGAAGACCTCAGTACGGAAGGACTTGTCTGCTTCTGGTGAACAGTTCACGAAATACGTACTTACTTCTCCTCTGAGCTTCTTCAAGGAATTTAAGTCGGCCTGCACTGGCAGAGTACGCTGTGTAACACGTATTGGAATTTGAAAGGGTGACATGAAGGAGATTGGACCAGAAGGATTTAAGCTGTTTTTCCTTGTTTTGTGTCTGTAAAACTTCTCTTTCCTGCTCCCTCTTTCCGACTCTTCCTTTCCACATAGTCCTTTATTCAAGCAGCCTTCCTCAACCCCATATGACTTTACCTTTATAGCTGACGGCATCTTCGCTTGTTCCGAGAATCACTGCTTCTTGAGATTAAATGAACAAACACAAAACCCACCAGAAGAGTGAGAGTAATTTCACATTCAAAAACAAACTAACATAAAAAGAGCTATGGTCAGCACTGATAACTAAACATGGCAAGCTACACAAACAGAAAACTAAATTAACGTCTAAATTTGATTTCACATTGGAATCTTGCGGCTCCCAGTTTGGGATTTACAGCAATACATTTTGATTC